CCATCCCGCCTCAAAGGCGAGGAGGGCTGGTGGAGTGCCCAGACGGCAGTGGCTTCCGAAGAACTTTTTGCGGGTGACGAAGAGGATCCGAGGAGAGAGCACCTCGGCTGCCGGCGAGGCATCCGCCCCGCGCCCACACATCTGATGGAAAGTGCGATGAAGCGGTGGCGGCAGGCTAGCCACCGGTGGGGCACACGGAGCGATATGGCGTTCGGCTGCGATTTGAGTGCAACCGGCTGACGCATCTCCTCCACAGAGACGCGGGGACGGCGTGCCTGCGAGGCGCCCGATATGCGCCAACGGACCCAATGGAAAGTGCGAAGCGAGCACTCGACGGCTCGCAGCCTGTGGACGGAGCACGAGAGCTCGAACCTCGCACTCGCGTGCAAAATCGGCACCTCGGAGCGCCATTTTCACACCGCATTCGAGCCCATGAAAACAACAATGTACCCCAAGCAGCACGATCACGCCTCGCACCGGTGCGGTGGTGCCGGGCGGCTCTAGGGGGTCAGGCTGGCTGCATGGCACCACCCGTAGCCCGTTTTGCTGCCCTGGCATCACCCGGAGGGGGGATTGAACATAGTAGGGGAGGCAAAGCCGTACATTTGTTGCGCGCCGGAGACGACTCGACGCCGCTGAGATCAGAGATCAAGCTCTGACAGGTCACACGTCGCTCCTTTGACGCCGACGTGACTCACCCGTGCAGACCACATCAGGACACGGTCTCGACGCGCTCGGTACGACGCCTGCGACCTGTCTCGGGTCAGGTGGCACGACGCTCATCGCGCCTACCAGCGCTGCCGTACAGGTTGCCACGACGAGGTCGAGCACGCTTCTATACGCTCGCCGAGCCTTCCTTTCCATCCCAGTAGGCAGCCTGGGAACGGTGGCGGTCAGAGGCAAAGCCTACGAGGGGTGGTGGAACCACATGTCACGGCTACTGCCGGCTCCACCCCACGATAGCCTCCGAAGGCTGACTTTGCGGCACCATCATCGGACGATGTCGACGAGTTGGGTCGCTCTACACAGAGAACAAAGTACTCACACAGACGCAAATCACAAATGAGAAAAGGAAAACAGAAATGAAACAAATGTCTCCCCTCAAATCGCCAGAGAAGTCCGACGGTCAGTGCGCACCGCCTTGCCCTTGGCGCGTTTGGGCGGCGCGCGCAGGGGGCAAACTAGCTAAGAGAGGCGCGGGAGAGGAGAGAAGTAGGAGAGGGGGGAGAGGAGAGGCGGCAGACAGGGACCCTCACGCACGAGTTCATTCCATGGGCGTAAGGCCTAGCGTAAGGCGGAGAGCTCACGCGGCCTTTGCCGCCGCCGGGATCGAGTCGAGCAGCTCGTCCTCCTCGGCGAGCTCGCGCACGATGTCGAGCCCGCCGAGCAGCTTGCCGTCGGCGTAGAGCTGCGGGTAGGTCGGCCTGTTCACGCACCCAACCCGTGTGAAGCGACGGGCCGGCGCGTGCCTTGGCCTGCGGCTAGCAGGGGGTCTGCCAGTTGGAGAACTGCTTGAGGCCCTGCCTCACCTCCTCGTCGGCCAAGATGTCGAAGCTGTCGAAGGAGACCTGCTCACAGCACCAGGTGTGAACCGATCGCGCCTCCTCGTCTCGAGGGCGACGCTCACACGGCGCCTTCTGCTCGGTGAGCAGCTCGCAGATCTTGCGCGAGAAGCCGCAGCGCGGCGCGGCGGGCGAGCCCTTCATAAACAGCACCACGGGCGCACGGCTGGTCAGCTGGCGGCACCGCTCCTCGATCGGCACCGCAGCGGGCGGCGCGCCCACCGCGTCGGTGTGGATCGACGCGGTGAGAGCGTTCTGCCGCACCTTAAGCGCTAAATC